AGTGGGTCAATGATTCGCATATAATTACTATTATCCTCTGTTCTCCCTGAGAGGTCTCTTTGTACAAGCCTAAACTAGACACTAAATTATGTTTAGGCTTGTAATTTTAGTCACTTTGTATTTGCCAGCTCTTGGCATGTTTCAGCCTATAATTCAGTCAAGAACCGTATTAATCAACTTATTACCTAAATATGAATCCGAGATGCCAGACAAGATGCTTTGTCTTAGCTAGTCGGTTTTCGAAGACGCCACATATATCAGATTTCTCTACATATTAATTAATCATTCTGACATCTATGTTATGAAATACTGCTTCAAGCCAAGTGAAAAATAATTGGGTGCGATCAAGTATTGTTTATTAATTTTTATTATTGCATTGCATTATTGCCTAGTCGGGTGCATTATACATTATTCTAGCATTTTACAAGGCTGGTATTCCGAGAAGTTATTGCTTAACACAAACGGTTTCGAATGTTTGAATTGGCCACCGAGTGTTAAACCAATCTCATAACGATGTAGCTTTTCAGTTCCATTAGTTTAAAAGTTTCAAAATATCAGGGTTCCTCATCTACGCCAATGTCTACAGCCAACAGGTGTGCGAGTCCTTCGGTTCCGAACTGAACCAAGCGAAGGCTCGTGGAGTAGAAAGGTCGATGAAGAGCGATCTAAAATCGTACTTTTATCAACTACAGGTATAACTCGCGTGTTCTTTCAATTTGCATTTTGCCGTGATTCACGTGCTCAAATCGGTACTCACATGTGGGAAACGAAAATGGTTCTCAGGGCTGGCCAAGAAATGAACCGTTAACTGGAGTGATATTTGATTAATTTCATATCCATATATAAAGATTAATAATTGGAATCACCTCAAGGGTACTTAATTTGAACGYATAACATTGGGGATACTGATTCATGGTAGATTTAGGTAYCAACTGCTATCACTCAAGCATTTGCCTTCAACAAATTGTGGTCATTGGACGAGACTGCAATTATTATTGWATCATGCCAATCTCATAAGAGACTCACTCATATTGTAACTTATGGAAAATATTATCGATTCTTTTCAAATAGGACTATGACGCTATTAAATATTTTTTAAATGGGGTTTTTAAATGATGCGTTTATAAACTTTTTGCGCTACGAACGTCTTATTGCAACAAAATGTAGTTTTTTAGTACAAATTCGATATTATTTTTCTCGTTGAGGATTTTTACATATTCTGTACAACTGCAGTTTTTTAATGTCAAATTTCATTCCTTTCTGCGACTGTGTTTTTTTTTAGTATCTTTTATGCATTTTAAAGCTTCTTTAGTGGAGCAAAATTATATAATGATTTTCATAATATGTACATAATTTTTTTTTATTTGCTGTATTGAAAAATTGCAAGCAGTAACACTTGAAATAATCTGTAACTGGAAACTTCCTTGTTCTAGTTTTTTTAATTAACATAAAACAGTTATTTTACACTGATTGATAAAAAATCTATATTTATTTAGCGTGTGCAAGGACTAGCTAGATAGAAATACGTGTTATTTTCAGTCTTCTTGCAAGTGAGATTCGAAATGTGGGTATTACTTTTACTTCTAATTATGGTGCAATTAATGGTTTTTAAATATACATACAACCAACTGGCACCTGCAGCAGTTGCAATGGAAAACGACTGAGTTTGAAAGTAATTTTATACCTCTACTATAAACCAGCGGTGTAGTAGAAATACAAAAAATATTTTTTGCAGAACTGGTATCTCAAGTTTTTTTAGTTTTGCGCCTGCATTGAAATACTTCACACTAGGACAATGACTAATCGTTATTTAACAGGAAACAATCGCAGATTTGATTAGTTGTAAAATGACTAGTTACCTTGCAAATTTTTCATAAGTAATCTAGCTTGAAGCTTCAGTAATTTGTCTAAAATTTCATTAAACCAGCTAAAGCAGCTGCTGTTAATTTTGCGCAAGAAAACAGTACATTTTAACGGGGCAAAACAATTAAGGAAAATTACGGAAGTTCAAGCCTAKTTACYTTTGTGCTGGCACTTTGTTTAAAATGTTTTCAGAATATTTAATTTTCCAATCGAGTTTACAAATAGAATACGAAAGAACAGAAATAGTTTGGCCTTTAAAATTAGCGAAASAAGGTTGTTTTTTTTTATGAAAATTAAAAATTTTGGTTGCCCTGAAATTACACTAAAAGTTTTATTTTTAGTTTTAATATTTCACTTTCAAAATATCATTGATATTCTGTGAAATACAGCAAATATTCTTTTGAAGTCTAGTAAGTAAATCGTTTACTTAAAACAGTAAAAAATTAAATGTTTCAAGAGATAGGTTTTCGCTGCCATTTCTTGAAACTGCATAATGTTTCGCGTTTTTAGGTCTACAGTTTTTTCCGGACGTTTCTAAAGCACGACTGGCTTTTTTGTACACATCTCAAATTTTAATGTTACATTTTTATGACTATCAGTGCCGGTTTTATAAAACTAGAATTATTTAAATGTGTTCTATTTGTATAGTTTCTAATTAAATTTCTTCAGAATGTTGCTTTTTTGTGTTAGCATTATTTTAACACTTCTCTATCTTCTATGGCGAAACATCTTCTTACCAAGGAAAGTCGACCTCACTAATTTGTCTATTTTTTGATAATATTTCAATATATGTGTGTGTTCAAGTACACGCAATTGTTCCAAATTTGGAATTAGTGTTAAGACGCCTGTATGCAGGTAAATTATAAGCCTTCGTAGTGTATTTAAAGGTAAACGTCTTTTGAAGAAATCGAAGTTAGAAAAGAAAGAATCGGCTCGAAGAAATCGAGCAAATCAGAATATTTGCTCCCTTTTCTCAAAACTTATTCAGCATAAACAAAGCACTTGCTTCACTTCTGAATACTACCAAGTTCCGCAATATACGCCACTGTCTTTTACCTGAAAACACCGGCACGTTATGCTTCCCTTTTCCAGCCAAGTGTTTTCTTACATCGGGCTCAAAGCTCTAACCAAACGGCCTTTCGGAAGATATATTTGTTCAGCAGGAGGTCGGTAGCAACACTAATTTGTGATAATTTCATTTTGTCCAACCTTTAGCGATAAAAACAATGAAAACTCACTTCCACGCAATAGTGTGGGAAATAAACGCACCCATTTACATTTGCATAAGATTAACGATATTAACGTTTATTCTTGGTGCCTGATAAGCGATTACTGTATTTGTATGAGCTTTTCTTATTTTAATAGTATTTTTTATCAAAATCAATTTTAAAGTGCCCTTGCTCCGATTGCTTATGCGAGTGCGAGTTTGTAGGTAACATTTTGAATTATGTACCCAAAATTTGAAATAGAAATAACTCTTGATCTGGTCTATTAATTTAAGATATTATCCAATGACCGTTAGTGATCTCATCTCTGAATCCCCCACGCAACCGGTTTTTTGATATATTTAATTATTATGTCGATTGAAAAATGTTTTTCACTATTTTACGACTATGTGACTATGTAAATACGCATTTAATGCGTATTTTACTTCAACCAAGCATCTCAATCGAACATAATTTACTTCAAATATCCGTCTATATATTTTATATTGGACCCGAATTTCCCAGTGTTTAAAACTAGATTTAATGGAAATACTTTGCTGTTGAAATAAACAAATGTCCTGTTGATTGCTTCGACTTCATAGTGTGATAAATTAATTACTTAAAATTTATTTTTTTGGCGATTGCTTTATAAATATTTCGAGTATAATTTATTTACATCAGTATTTATAATAAAACCTAATTTTGAAAATGAGACCAGACCAAAAACCTATTTTGGTCTGTATTAAGAAAACGAGGACTGTGATAAATATTTCAGTGTGTTACACTTTCAATTTTAGAAGGAAACAAATAGAAAGCGCCAATTTCTCCTATAACTTACGGTAAGTAATTGGGATCTGAAGTGATTTTCATTTCGTTACGAATAAAAATTAAGATTTAAAAATATGTGTGAATGGTTCGAAATACTTTCAAAAATACGAATGTCGAACTTTTAATTCGTAAAATACAGAAACGTATTTCGGAATCAAAAAATTTCGGTTTATAGATAAATTTGCCCGAGTTCTATTTACTTGTCTATGGAAAGCTGTGGAACTATTGTATGCAACATAATTGAGAAACTGCTTCTAAAAATGGGATTCAAAGTGGTATTTTTTGTTTAATTTCGAGTGTATTTTTTTAATTTTTAATATGCTTTTAGTAGGTAGTTTCCATTTCTTATCTCATCCAGTTTTGCACATTAGGTATTTAATGAGAATATGCCAGCCGAAAAAAATTTCCTAAAGTTTTTGTAAACTGAATATTTAGATACTTAATAATACCTTGTAATAGTACTCCCCTATTGTGAAGATTGATTTCAAAAAAGTCCAACTGTGTGCTAAAGTTGTTATTTGCGAAAAAAGGAAAAATATTTCACTGCAGTTGCGATTATCTTCAAGTCGCAAGGAAAATATTATACAGGGTGTTTGTTTTTCGCTGGATAACACAGGGTTATAAGCGCAATTTTCTACACGTTTGACCATTGAAATTTTTGGGCTCATAAGAGCCATCAAATGTTTCCAATGGAACCAAGTACAGATCTCGAGATGTGTTAATCTCAGACACCCCCAGGATTGGTTTCGAGTCTGTCAAGCTCTCATTGCTTTGCATTTACGATTTTCATTTTCTTGAAATCTGTTATTATTTTCGAGATCGTTTATATTACAATTATTATAAATACATATTGTCAATATTTTAAAGCACCTGCTAACAATTAAATATCTACTTAGTAAGTATTTCCTAAAATCAAGTGTCTTATCTTTAAACATGTAGATACTAAATAGTTATCCAAACAGATGTTGCTTTGTTTTGAAAACATCTAAGTACTTTTAGTTTAAATGACGACAATGCAATAAAACTGAATACTAACTGTTTCACTGCAGCAATATGAAAATGTTCGAATTTATTGATTGTGCTATTGATTGCTGTGAAACTTACCATTGTAATTGTCGTATGCTGTGGGCACATATTCGCTTGGAAAACTGTCGTTACTGTAAGAAACTGCTAGAGAAGTTTTCCCCACCTGTTTATCACCGACTATCACGCATTTTATTCTGCTTTTGTCGTGTTTTTTCCTTTCAAATTTCTGGCTTTTCCTCACCGTTACCGTATTAATGACCGTCACTGGACTGTTTACGGATAAAAGTGGCTGTTTGGTATAGTGTAACACCGGGTTACACTGCGGTGTCATTTTCATTATCTTTTTATTTTAAAAGTGAACTCGAAAATTTTTTTAATGCGTTTGCTTTAACACTTTAATACATTTTTCGCGCTTTGACCGGAACTGAAACTGGCAACGAATGCGCTTTCGTAAATTTTTCGCGTAATTTAAAGCAGCGGATAACGATTACGGAGGCACTTTCGTCTACAACGCGGTGAGAAAAGTGACTAAACCAGTGAACAGTGAACTGACTCATGTAGGTATGGAGAGTTTGTGTTCGCCAGACGCAATCGAGATGATAAAACGACAGAGAGGGAACTTTTGATTACCAACTTACCTGTTACCTGTATCTGTTGCATGTGGGGAATTCTGTGTAAAGAGTTCCCTTTCAGCTTTCAGTCAGGTTTATGCAGACGTTCTAATGCAGTACATATAAACCCAAAACGATATTATGAAGCAGTGGTCAGTTTTTATGAAGAAACTAATTCTTTAGCTAAACAACAGGTGTTTTTGGATTCTTCAGATATTCACTAACGCTAATTTGGACTGCTGCAACACTGTCACCTCTGAATCTTGTGTGAACCAGCTCGATATTCTTTACCGTTGTCTGAAACTCATATTCAATTCAATAGTAGTTTTATTGTTATAATTGCAAGGGTCTCTTGAATTTGCGCATAGTTTTGATAGTGGTGCCCGAAGGAAAAACCATCACCCTGAGTCTTGATGCATATTTCCTAATGCGAAAATTATTAAGCAATATTTTCTCCTTTTTTCATACTTTCCTATACAAACTTACTTATATGTACTTATTTTTACTTATACCACTCAATACAGTGGATTTTCAGGTGTTGACGCACTAATTCCATTACGGCTCGTCGCGTTAGTCCAACGCGTCATGATACAGTAAATTGCGTTAGATACAATAAATGTGTTGAAGATAACAAAGAACCCTGTGTTACGTGGTGGTAGTGTTTCGTAGTCCCATGCGTAATGGGCTTTTAAGCGATACAGCGCGGTTAACTTTTTGATAAAATTTTTTGAGAAGAACTATGACACACGCCGTTTTCGTTGTTTTAATGAATAGAATAAATGGAGTCGCAACATACTTTCTCCTTGTAGAGCAGAAAAAAAATGTTTGCAACATTGTCAGTGCTTCAATTTGCGCCAACACTGCATTCTAGTATTAACAGAACCGAGATAAATAAGTATTTTGAGCACGATCTAGTTTTGGTTATTAAATTCTGGTTTTGGCTCGTGTGGCTTCATATTTACAAAAAAGGTACCTAATATAATCCCTGTCAATTCAAGGTGCTACACCGTAAGACGCGAGATGTTATAACGCATTGGCGCACAGAGCGACATTAGCGGCGCAAAAGTGTCACACAACCAAGTGTTACGCAGGCCTACTTCCCCGTACTTCGTCCAAAGTATAGTCCGGTATTTTCTAATTTTCAATAGCCATTAATAATCTGGGCCCGGAAGTGAAAGAGAAATGATTGACATTTTAGTACTATTGTCTTTTATTTAAAATTATTTTATGCTATTTGTTCTAGTAGATTCCAAACCCTTGATTTATCTGCATCCCTGTAGCCTCCGTAACTTTCACTTGAAACAAAAATATTAACTTCAAAACTTGCAGATACTCAACTCTAGTTTATTTGAAAATAACATTTCTTGATACAGGGTGTTCCAAATTTAAGTGACAGACAAACTCAGACAATGCACATTCGACCTCTACCATACATTCTACACTTATTTGATTATTTGATATAAATGTTCTCAATCAATTGTTCTTCAGTTAATAACTATTGATGATTGAACTTTTGACCCCCTTTCGCATCGGTAATTATTAATAATTCAGATGATAAACAGTTGCAAAAAATATACAGGATGTTTCCTAATTGAATACAAAAATTTAAAGGCGTATTCCTGAGCTGATTTTATGAAAAAAAGTTAATATGAATATGAGGTCAAACATGCTTCGCTTCCGATATAAAGGGTGTAAAATTTTTTTTTGGAGAGAATTTCCAAAGAAGAACCGAATCCTGTATTTTGGCAGCGTGTGCACATTTTCAACTACGCGATAGTGTAGGTTTTCGATTTAATTTATTATTGTCACCGTTTAATAGCACACTTATTTTATGCGCACATGGCACACTTAATTAAGAGTTAAATTGTCCGTTTAATAAACTGTAAAAAATTTTTTTTGGGGCCATCTCGCTTTAATTTTAAAAATCATGTTTATAACCGTTAAGGGCCCTTAATTAGAGCAAATGGTATACCAAATATGGTTTTCAAATTAAAAAATTAAAACCATAAAATTTAACACCCAACAGATCAGAAACGAAGCACTTTTGACCTCATGTTTATATTAACTTTTTCTCATAAAATCAGCCCAGCAATACACCCTTAAAATATTTGTAGCAAATTATGCGTATTAATATATTATACAGGATGCTACTAGAATAAAAAAACACCCTGTATATTGGAACAAGGTGTTTCAAATATCAAGACTAAACTTACTATATTTTTTACTACATTTTAAATGGCGAAACTCTGAAAAGTTCAATTCATAATCCTATACATTTTAATTGACTAACTTTTTGAAATAATAATTTATTATAATCAATTTTTCTCACTATGCAAAACACCGCAAAGACAACCCTGTGTTTTTCTGCTTTTCACACCTGCCATTTACGGCCTCTATTCGTCTCTTTTCCGCTTAGCCGCTCCGACAAGAGCAGAGCGAAAAGGGCCTAGCTATTGAGCAGGACAGTCAGATATCAAATATATTGACATTTGTTTGGAGGGTGTTGTTGATTTTTTGCAAAAGGTCGATAACCTTTTCTGAATACAATTGAATTTAAATAACAATTTTAAGAAAACGATTAGAACTGAACTTAACTAAATAATACTAAGCGATTTAGAAACTTTCCTAGTGTTGGGTCAAGGGGCATTTGATAAAGTGAATATTAAATATTGCATTTACTTACATGTAAATGCTTGAAAAGATCAGATAATTTTTACTTGATGAGGCCAAGGGGCTTGGAATGCCGCGCTAGAATGGATCAAGGTAGCATACAGTTGGCTGCATATTAATTTTGAGCCGTGCCCATCGGGAGGTTAAAAGGTTAGTAAAAAATAATTAGAACACCAATTAAAATGGTTTCCATTCTCTTTAGCTTACTGTTATTCATACACTGTTGTGCTTTATGGAGCTTCAGTAGAGAAACAACGCATGCCTTAGCTTTACTGAATATAATATCAAACTTTAATTGTAAATTTACTCATTACATAACTAAAAAGGGTCAGTTTTATTTTTGGGGCTGAGTATGTGTATAAGAACGTTTTCATTCTTTATTTAGTTTATTATAAATTCAAAATTTAAATGTTATTTCGGATCCCCTGTCGACAGGGCGCATACCATGAAAACTGTGCATAAAAAATAATTTGATTAAAAAAGTTCCTATAAATTCAAGTGCGGAAACGCTTGGTTTAGGATCTATAAGGTAATACATGAAAATTTTCTGCAGGGATTTTAGAAGCTGTAGGACGCTGTAATGCTCTTTGAAATCATTCATGGGTGCACTTTTATGTAAACTTTTTGCTTAAAACATGCCTTTCATATTCCGATAATTTTTTTCTCAAAAACGATATGTTGTACAAAAAGAACTGAAAAAGCTTTTATTTTAAGGTTTTAGTGGTGTGCTAGTTTTTTATTTACAAATATACTGCGCCACTGGTCCGAAAAATTGGTTTATTTAGTACAAAAATGTGATTTAATTCCGTGTTTTCGTAAATATGGTGAAAAAAAATCCGGAACATGTATTTACAGGCACTTTTAATTTAAAATTAAATTTTCTATGGACGGTTTTCATGGGACTTTAATCCTAACACACGCTGTATATTAAAAGCATTTTATTTTGTGTTTTCAGCGATCAACTACCTATAGAAAATGTTTACTTGAAGCTTGTTTCCCTCTTTATTTTTAACTCGAAGTTTCGATTAATTTTTAAACTGCGTATTGTCCTATTCATATATATTCACTTTTAGACTCGTTTCCAATTTTTAATAAAAAATTTATAACTTCTTTAATTCATACTTGCAGCATTCACAAACGATTAATATGGATCAAGAAAAAACGAATCTCGACAGTTACGTGCATAGAATCATAATACTAAGAAGGAAAAAACGAATGGTACTAATAACGTTAATAATATTCGTAATAATTGTCGTGTTTGGTCTGCAATTTTACCTTGTGGACCAAAAGGGACGATTGGACATGGGATTTGGCGAAAAGGTAGAAGCAGTTGAACATTTACTTAACTTTTGCTAACATTAATATAAAAATCCGTTATTTTTATTAGAAGAATGTTCTTCTCCAAAGTATAGGAGTAAAATTTATTGAGGTGGCAAAACTTAATGATCAGGAGCACTATGCAAAAGACAGCGCTGGAATGGTTCAGATTAGTCAAGCTGATAGAGACAAGCGCTTAGATCGCGCCAGTGTAGGTGATATTGCGGGAAGTCAAACAGAAAAACACATTGAAGGTACAATATGGTGTACTTTGTGAATATTCCATAGGACACACATTTTTTTAGCATGTGAAACAGATCAGCAGCTGGGTATTCCATATGTGTTGCTTGATCAGAAAAAGCCATTTGTCCCAAATCACAGAATAGTTCATTTCGATCTCAAAGGAGCACCTCCAACCATAAGTTATCTAAAGAAAGTAATTTCTTTGGCGAAAAATGTGGGCGCTTCAGGTTTACTATTAGGTAGACGTTTGAAATTTTATAAAAACATTAATTGCCATTAATTGATATTTTAGTAGGGAAATTAAAACGCCCCTTTTTTGGTAGAATATGAAGACATGTTTCCGTTCAGTGGAAACCTAGCGCCGTTAGCTGCAAAAAATGCCTATACTCTGGAACAAATCAAGGACATCCTTTTATACGCTCAAGAATTAAAATTGGAAATTATTCCGTTGGTACAAACATTTGGCCATATGGAGTTTGCATTGAAGCTTAAGGAGTTTGCCCACATTAGGTTCTTAATCAGTTTCTTTTTATTTTACAATTAGAGGTTTTTAGAGAATTTACGTGCTTTATTCCAGGGAAGTTCCTGGAAGTCCCCAGTCTTTGTGCCCTAGTCGCAATGCTTCTCTAGACTTAGTAAGGGACTTAATACATCAAGTAAGTATTTATCAAGAAAATCTGTCCTGGTTTTATTGGCTTACTTTTTCAGATTTTAGATGTTCACACTGCAATCAAGTATCTTCACATTGGTTGTGATGAGGTGTTTGAAATGGGAGAATGCGAAATATGTCGCACCGAGTTGCACGAAGCTTTATTCTTAAAACACATCCAAAACGTTGCTAGTATAGTGCACGATAGGAACTCACAATTACAGGTGAGCTTCAGTGAACTTTATTTTTCGTTGATTTATGATATAACTAAATAGGTAATAATCTGGGACGATATGCTTCGACACATACCACTGCCAGACCTGCAAGCTGCCAAACTAGGGGACCAAGTTGAGCCTATGGTTTGGGTGTATGCTGAAGACATTTATAGATTTGTTCAGGCAAGCGTTTGGGATAAATACGCCTCAGTCTTTAAAACCGCATGGGCAGCATCAGCTTTCAAAGGTAGTTTGTGAAACAACAATTGGGCAATTCATGAGTAGGGAATTCTTAGGTGCCTTTGGTGAGACGCTGTACATTCCTAATGCTCGACGGCATTTAGAAAATAACTTAAGATGGTTAGATGTAATGTCAACGCAATCAACTGCCTTTAAACAGGGTATGAGAGGAATAGTGCTTACAGGTCAGCAGGCAAAGAAATGCTGCAGTATGCATTAAAAAATTGTTTTGTTGATAGGCTGGCAAAGATATGACCATTTTGCCGTGCTCTGTGAGATGCTGCCAGCCGCACTTCCTTCTTTAATTTTAAACCTGATGGCTACCAGCAATGGATTTTTTAATGTTACACACAAGGTATATTAATTCCTCGGTGTCAGCACATTTTTCTTACGAATAATTTGGTTTAGGAACAATTTTTGAGTACTCTGAGTTGTCCGCGCCAAACTGAAAGACGGCCCAGTCCGTTTTTGAATTTGGATGGCGATCCTAACATGTCGGAAAAATTAGCCAGATGCTTATTTCCAGGACATGCGTTTTTCAAGTAAACCAGGCACCAATTAGTGTTAATGATTTTTTTAAATTGAATGAGTATTTAGATTGATGTATCGTCTTCATAATGTCGAAGAAGAAGCCAAAGAATATATAGACACTACTACAAGTCAGCGCGGTTGGATGACTGCTTACAACACCAAACATAAGTATAGTCTACCGTTGCGGGTGGATGAATTGGTGCAAGATTTACCAAGAGTTTATCATGGTATGACGAATTTGGCTAGGTAAGCTACTAATTTATTTTTGCTTAATTAACGACGTTTCTGCATTCAACTGGGAAACTTCTCATTCTACTTCGATTATTGTCTAGTTTAAAAAACTTTCCTCTGATTTATTTACGGTCGGTTTGATGACGACGGATCGAACAGAATCGTGGCGAGTTTTGATGCTCATAAAACATACAGATTTGAGATTTGTGGATTTTCACTCGAACGTTGTCGAGGCAAAAAATGAGTTAAATATACACTCAGACAGAACTACTTTTATCTACCGTACATAGTGTGCAGCTAAGCGATGTGCTTTAATCGTAGATGGCAAATTATGATGAAACAAGCTTTGAAATTCAAAAGATTTTATTTAAAAACTCTTGAATATTATCTATCATCAGGGCCGCTAAAAACCACAAGAAACCCTAAGAGCATCGAACAAAACAAGCCACGAAGCAAAGAAAGTGAAAAGTTGCAAATCAATGGTCAAAAATTAAAATTGTAAAAAATAAATTAAACGTTACTGAAGACTTATTAATACACACGCATTTATTAGTGCGAAATACTGATAACGTTCCTGTATAGCTTTTCCCCCTTTAAATGGCTCTGCTCCTTTCGGGAAATTTGCCAGTTAATTATCCTTAAAAACTAACATTCGCAGTACAATAAAATTATTCGGCGACTAGTTTGCGCGATGACAAGAATACAGAGTAAATTAATAAATAATAATAAATGGCTGTTGATATGAGAATAAAATAAAATAAATTAAAATTAGGATTGTAGATTGATATTTAAAGTTGTCAGTCCCACACCGTGCTTATAACGTTGTTGGATAGTCCAGTTTATGCTGTCCAAGTTATGGAAAAATAAAACATAGTAACGAATAAATATGAGAATGATTAAGTAAGGCAAACTTCTGCATTACAATCATCTCAATCTGTAAGTATTATACAAGAGGCATCACTTTAATTTCCCTTTCATTTAATTTATAACATTTTTTTCTATGGTTTTAATTTACCATTTTGTCTCGCTTAATCGTTCTCATATTTGCCGTTACTATGCTATATTTTCCATTAATTTCTGGCTTCACCTACAATATGTTGTCGAGTTGGTATGGAACTGCCAATTTCAATTTTAATCACCGATTTATTTATTTATTATATTTAACTATTGATTAGTGGCATGTTTTGTTTGATACTCTTGGGGATGTTACTTACGCTACATTGTTCACCAGTAAATTTTCCTTTCTCTTTATACGATATCCCTCAGAGTACTGTGTTCTTGTTTTTTTAGTTGCCCTGATGTGCATAGATACGAAGATTGTTTCATGGAATGTTATCCAGTGTAAACCACCCCGAAAAAAAAACTTTTACTTAATTTTCTTTCGTACACTTGTATCTTCAATTGTTGTTTGATGTAATTTTGTTTTTGAGAAATGCTGCTGATGCACTAGTTGGGATAATGGATAATTACACGATATCTGAGTGGATAGAGCAACGAATTTATCCCTATATTGTCGAACTGGACAAAATTCAAAACAGCAGCTTTGCACTTAAAAAAGTTTTATACTGGCCGGCTAGGCCTTTGCCGGTGCTCAAGGAACTGGAAAAACATGGTATAGCCTTAAACTAGAAACTAGGCTAGATTTTATATGTAGGGGTTGCAATCGATTACATATGCTAAGTGGATATCGTCTATTAAAAGACCAAATCCATTCAGGAACATCAGTATGTTTACACTGGTAGAAAATGGTAATATTTTAAGTAACTGATCAATAGTTATACTCATGGATTTGTTGCTTGAGACAACAGCTAACGTGCCAAAAAATAATGCGTAAACTGTTGTTTTGATGCCTTTTAAAATTCTCTAGCTATTTGATTAACGAAAAAGTCTACAAAAACCACGTAGCTTATGTAATCGAAACGCCCTAAAAAAGCTCAAAGTATATCGTAAGTCATATCTCAGACTGTTGTTGCGATACTATTTTCAGGAAAGTTCCCTCATTTAACACATACATTCCGAATTCCCCATTTATTTCAGTGGAAAATTTCAATCTTGTTCTTCGTCACCCATTTATAACATGCTAAATGAAAAAATGCATATTAACGATAAGTATTTTATAGAATACACGATAGGTTCAAGTTAATGTATTGCATCTTCAGTAACTGATTTGTACAACAGGTTCAATGATATTTTTTTCCAAGATGTGTTACATTAATCATGCCAATCTCACAGGAGAGACTGATAATGTAATTTTTTGAAAATCTGTTTGAAAACCATAGATTCTTTTCAATAGGAGACTATTGTGCATCGGATTTTAAAATGATGCTACTTCCCTTTCGTTTTTATTAGCCCTAGTTAAGGTCAAAATATCTTTTTTTAAGTACAAATTTGATATTAATTTTTCTGTCGAGGATTTTTTACATGCTCTGTACGATTGCAGCTTGTTTCTAGTCAAATTTTATTTGTATCTGTTGCGGTTTTTTTTTAGAGTATGTTTGACGCTTTTAAAAGTGTCTATTAACGGAGCATCAAGTATAAGGATTTGTATATTTATCGTTTATGGTGTTTTACTTTTTATTAAAAAACATGTATCATTTTACAAAATCAATACATTTTCAAACTGGCCCAGCATACTCCAGTAAAATTATCTATTTAAGCAATTAATTTATCGCCTAAAAGTTTAAATGCACATCTAGTTTGTTGTTAAAATAGCTAAAAAGTTTAAAGGCTGCTTATTTTAACACCTTTGTATAACTGCATAATTTCCTTTTCGTTTTGACTCTATATTAGACTTGTTACAAAATAGAAATTTTAATAATTTATGACGTTTGAATATTTAGTACAAATTGGAATGTTGGTAGTTACTTAATAGTTTACAGTATCATAATAATTGTAGGAAATCATAATGCAATCACCACTTAGTAAGGACAGTACACTGTCCTAAAACACGTAAATATCTAAATAAATAAAACACATAATAATAAATAAATATTTAATATTTAAAACCGGCTGGTTTCATGTTTAACACGTTTCCAAGTATTTAATTACCCACTTAAAATGACATTAGTGAAGTGACCGCTTAAAATACAACAAAACTTATTTACAAAGATAACAAAAGAAGAATGAGATATAGACCGCCTATTTATCATAAGATGTTTTAACTATTTTTTAATTGCGTCAAATTAAAAAAAATGCTAATACTGCGGGTGACAATTGTATGAAATAGAATAGAAAAAAGAATATTTTACAAATAGGCAGTTTACTTATTACTTTTGCTTATTTAGAAATTTATTGGTTTTCCAAAGTATGCCATCAAATTTGCCTCCCTCAGTGCTTCAGCACAGGTTGGGTGAGCATGGCAAACCCTGGCAACATCTTCGGCTGACGCGCCATATTCCTGAGAATCCGAACAATTTTACTGTTATTTATCAACTAACTTCAATGCTCAAAAGGTAACTTTTTGCAAACGGGTACTGAGCGCTTACCTGTGCTAAAACAGCTTCGTTAATTAATTCGCCAGCACTGGACCCAATGATGTGAGTTCCCAAAATTCGATCAGTTGCCTTGTCTGATAGGACTTTAACAAAGCCGTCGGTGTCGTTGTTGGTCTTCGCTCTTGAATTGGCCAAGAATGGGAATTTGCCCACTTTGTAGTCAACCCCTGGTAAAGTAAAATGAAATAAATTTTCAGTCAACTCCTAGAGCAAATCTTAAATCCTACCTTCACTCTTAAGATCCTCTTCAGTCTTTCCCACCCATCCTACTTCAGGATGAGTGTAAATTACGGATGGCACACAATTGTAATCGATGTGAACTGCTCCTCCCAATATCCCTTCCACACATATGATTCCTGTAGAAATTTTAGATTTAAAATTCCAGTTGATTAGCAGCTTAGATTTTTACTCTACCTTCATCTTCTGCTTTGTGAGCCAACATTGGCCCATGTATACAGTCTCCAATAGCGTAAATATTTGGAATTACTGTTTGGAACACGGAGTTAACAGGCACTCTTCCCTTCTGGTCTCTTTCAATGCCCATTTCCTCAAGTCCAAGATTTTCAGTGTATGGTCTTCTACCAACCGAAACTAGCAGAACTTCACACTCGAGCTGAAATGAATACTCTTTAATTTAATTTACATTGCCATGTATACGTAACGATAATGTATTACATCTTCGGTTTTGCTGCTGTCCTTAACATCTTGAACACTGACTTTAACAACCCCACCGCTTTTAGATGCGCCGGTGACTTTTGTTCCCAATTTAAATTTCAAGCCTTGCTTGGCAAGAATTTTCTGGAAGGACTTTGAAACTTCTTGGTCAATGCCCAAACCTCCTATGGATGGCAAAAATTCAATTGCGGTTACTTCGGAGCCCAATCTGGACCATACAGAGCCCTGCAAGTAGCAAAAGATTTAACGAATTTATTTCACAGCGATTTGCTAAATTGTAGTTACCAATTCAACTCCAATAACTCCAGCTCCGATGACAATAAGCCTCTCTGGTACTCGTTTAAGAGACAAAGCCCCAGTTGATGAAACAATTTGTTCTTCATCAATGTCGATTCCAGGGAACGGAGTCACTTCCGACCCTGTGGCGATTAAAATGTTTTTGGTATTCACCACTTCACTAGAGCCATCTTCTTTTAAGGCAGTTACTTGGTTTACACCAGTGATCTTTCCATGGCCTTTGATCAATTCTACTTTGTTTTTCTTGAATAGTTGCACAATGCCTAAAAATACCAGGTTAATATTGGGCTGATGGGTGATTAGGCGGCATTACCTCCGGTTAGGGCCGACACTGAATTGGTTTTTTGGGCCATAAGTGTATCTAAGTTTAAGCGAATATTGTCACTCTCGATTCCTCGTTTAGCCAAATCGCCAGAATGTGCCATGTGGTAATAATGGGAATTGTTCAAAAGGGCTTTGGAAGGAATACACCCAACGTTTAAGCAAGTGCCCCCTAGTGTGGGATTTTTTTCTATACATACTGTCTAAAACAGTGACGTGGATTTGTTAAGCATGGATATTACAAGTTCTGGTAAATACCAACTTTGAGTCCTAATTGCGCTGCTTTAATAGCGGCTACGTAGCCACCGGGTCCAGATCCAATTACTACGATATCAGCGTCAGTAGATGAAGAATACATTCTTTGAAATAGGCTAGCTGCAACGTTTCTGTGGAGCCTAAGTGTTGTAGGCTGTAAGAAATAAATGAATATATCAAGTTTTAATCACATTCAAAAATGTATACATGGAATTTGGAACGGTGTATTCAACCATCTCATTGTGTTGGTACAATAAAAAAAACTGTGTGCCGAACTCCTGCCTAAAACTTCCTATATTTCCCAAAAATTACCCACGTTTCAATCCTTTACTACAGCCTTTATCAAAGCTATAAACGGAGATTATATATTTTTAAATATATAAATCAATTAAAATAGTGAGGGTTTATGTGATAATAATGCGCAACTCAATAAAAGAGTTTCGCATAAATTAAATAATAATTAATTTCAATTAATATGGAAGCAGATAAATAAATACGATAATAGAAAAGAACACCAAAAGAAAAAACATTGCACAAAGCAACACACAAAATTGAAATTAATTGGCGTGTAAAAAATAAAAAATACATTTATTAATTTCCAGTTTTTTATTCAATTTGGAAAATTTTTCTCAGTCGATTTTTCTGTCACGACAACACGATAATATGTATTTTTTTAACGAATTGTTAATTATGTAATTGTTTTTAGGTGTTGCCTACTTTGATTGTTTTTTTTTTCAAAATTTAGGCTATAAAGATTTTTTGTTTTCATAGTCTTATTACCAAAAATTTCACTAGTAAGTACTTGCTTATAAAAAAACCTGACTAACTAGTTTTAAGGCAGTCAATACAGTATAAAGGTATATAAACTTTCCAAAGTTCTTAGAATAATACCTTGTTGCATAAATAAGGAAAAAGTATTATTTTTTCTAAGTGAAGTTTAAAAATATTACAGATACTTTTTAAATATATCAATTAAGTTTACAGCGCTAGCATGTATTAGTTTTATGAGGGTGTTTATTGTCTTAATTATTATTTTAATAAGTTTTAGTGTCTAATAATCTTTGCTTCTCAGACAAAATAAACCCAATATATACAACATTTCAGAATAACAGTGAAAAAAAAATATTATTTGCAGCGTGACTACAACAACTACCAATGACGAACTTAAGGGCTTAGCTGGAGAAGTGTTCTTCTCTTAATGTAACAATGCAGATTTCCAGCGGCGAGGTGAGTAAAATTTAATAATGAAAGCATATAAATTTTACTCACCTCGCCGTAAGTAATTAGGGATGAGTATTAGACTGTTGATTGCGATTTGCTGAAACTTAATTAGCAGTTTTACACTGTGGTTTGAGTGAAAGCTGGGGACAAAAAACGAGGAAAAGTGGAGTGGTTCAAGTTCTTCAATTCCAATCTTCTCCGATTTCTGATGTTGTACCGAAGCGGTTCGTGATAAGCCGATAAAATGTTAAGTAATTAATCGGTCATACAGGGTCAAACAATATTGTGTTGTTATTGGCTTGGATGGTTCTATTTCTGCAGACCTTTTGTAGGTATTTCTGAAAAAGACTTTACACAAAAATTCAAAAAGATTTTGAGGGTATGTGGGATGTGTTGTTAATGACAGTCGCATCCAGTTTCATACTTATATGATGTAATTTCGTTATTCCATTCGGAAAATATATAATTTTGATAGAAACTTTTTTGAGAGGTTAGATTACGTAAACTCTGCATTTTCAAGTGGTGAAAAAAGTATCGTACCTTTAAGGAATTCGCCATTACGTTCAGCACCTGGGACTGCATTTTCCCTTTCCTCAGACCTGAATCTCACACTATAAAGCACTATTTAAAAGTCGTTAGAACCGACTTTTTCGGATAATAATCCTTCTGCAGAAGGACGAGGAATGACAACTTTTGACAATATCGAAGGTGACACTGACAAATGCCAAAGCACGTGATAATAGTGGTGTAATGTACTGCATTTTTTATGTACGATTTCAGTACATCTTATTATTATTATACCGGGTGCTTATCATAAGTTCATTTACAGCGTAATCAATATGTGCATGTTTTTTAAGCAAACATTTCATATAAGAGTAGAATGGTTTGTTTTGTAACCAACCGGGAGGTAAAATTTTTTGCATTTTTGTAGTTTTTTTGTTTAGTTTCGGTATTTTTTAGTTTATGGTCTGAGGTCATAAAAATTATAATATTATTGATAATTAATTTCATTATTAACAACTTTTCTTATCGCCATTTCTTGGGAAAATGCCCTTCTCTATTAATTTTCACACATTGAAATTCACTATTGTACCATGGTCCAACATTTACATTTTTTTCGAACTCTATTTTTTCTTAGAAACATTTTTCATCTAAAACAATTTAGAAAATAGTATGTTCGTGCTAAGTTTTCTACGCCAAAAATGTTTAGTTTCCTGTATGTATATTGTCTGTCAATTCAATACTTTTGTTCGCCTATTTTGCTGCAGATTTTTAGTGCAGTGTGGTCCATGTTGAAAATAAGTTTCACATCAGTTACTGTTTGAAAATGTATTTTACATTCAAGTTACTTATCTCGAAAAATGTAGAAGGTTTGCCATGTGATATCCGCAAAAACAAAAGCCATGGAAATTATATAAGCACTTTTAAAAAGTATAAAATAAGCAAAGAACTGCATTAAATTAACATGTTTCAAAATGTAAAAAGCCTGTTAATGAACTTAAGTAACTTAAATAGGTAAGTATTTGTCAAAAAGAGCTATAGAAAAAATATTAACATTCAATTTAGAATACTGACTTGGTTTGAAAGTGGATCGACCATTTAGGCAGCATATATAAAGTTATAAAAGTTCGTTTGTTGTAGCAAAGTTTTATAAAAAATTAGGTAGCCCGTGCTAAAATCAAGTTAAGTATTCTGTCGCATTAACGGTGCATGCAAAGGAAATAATTTACAAATAATTGCATGGGTTGAATGTGAATCTGCCATTGAGGCAGCCTTTCAAAAACAAAGCAAGCTACAAAAGACCAAAGTTTTATAAAAATTTCGCGAGAGACTCAGAGGTGAGAACGTGCCAAAATCAAGTTTTCCGCCGCTTTAATGCTGCGAGCAAATGAAAGCGATCACAAATCATGGCACGCCTCGAATCTGGATCTGCCATTTAAGTAGATTTTACCCCAACATATCAAGCTTCAAGAGTACCTAAACATTTTCGGGGAAATCGAGCCAAGGACTAATGAGAAAATTCTTGTGAAAATCAAGTTAGGTAATCTGAAGCTGAAAATGATGCGAGCAACGCAACATCACATTAGTCTTGGACAAAATATCAAGCTCAAATGGTTCAAAATTTCATAAAAATCTAATAAAGCGACTGATTCATAGCGTTTAATTAAGCATAAAAAAGTGTCATGCGTCGGATTTGTTTATCATTGGCTGAAAAAGTTGTTTTGCTTACGGTGATCAACCAAACAAATTGAAAACGTGAAACTTGTCTTTGAAAAATTGCCGCGCGAACAGGCACTTTCTACAAGAATGTCAATAATAAACAAACTGAAATCGAAGTAAAGAAATAAATGACTCATCCAAAGGGCGATCGAGCAAATGGTTATTACATCATGTTGGTTCTGTACTTCGGTGCCGTTTTTAAGAAAATCAGCTCAAATTCAGTTTGTGTAGTGTGAATTGCGTTCTTAAATGGAAAATATGGAATCATTGTGTTTCTTATGGCAAGTGCGGTCGTTTATTCTGATCACTAATTGCCGGTTTAAAGTTTCCAATTCGGAATATATTTTTATTGTGTGATCAAGTGTAGTGTGAACTTTTAGTTTCGTGATTAATGGGTAGAAAATAGAGGAAGGGGCACCAGCTTGCACAACGGTGGTAAGAATAATCTACAGTCTTTTAATCCCTTAGCTTGAGTCTAGTTTTCGAAAAGCATCTGATGTGATATGGATTCTTTACAGTTCTTATCAATTGCTTTGCTGATTTTTTTAAAATAGCGTTTGGCAGATTTTTTGTACTCAACACATTTTCTTAATTTTTTTCCAGGTGGCACCATTCAGCTTTCGGTAAGTTTGGCATTTATTTGGTCCTTGGTACATGTAGTAAAAATCATATTTAATTAGTTCGTGTAATGTATACGTTTCTTGGCTATGGTTATAATATCGAGAATCACTCTGGGCATGAAGTTGTAGGTTCAAATGCAAAGATTGCACCCGTGCATTAATAAATTGACCTGATAAGGAATAATCGTGAAATTTGTTAAACTTTCTGACCTCACTTATTTGCAAATATTTCAAGTTTGGTTCTACCATAGCGCTTAGTTCATATTATTTGCATACTGATACCCTGCAAAAACTTTAAATTCGACTAAACAAATCAATCATCATAATCAATTGTTCATTCTTTATAATACAACTATGTTATAATTGGAAGTGTTCACATGGAAATATGAAATAATGTGGCTAAATGTAAAAGTTATAGACGTGAGTAGCTTAATAAATCAAGCACCCTAAAAATAGCGCCATCATTTTCGGTTATTTTTGAAAGGTTACTATAAATTATAAGATCCCTAATCCGAGTACTAAACATTCTGGTAAAAAAAAGCCTGTCAATAATCTTGTTTTATTCAATTATTTACTTTCATATGTTCAGAGTCGTGTTTACATCGCTTGTTTTAAGGATTTCTGGATGTTTGCGTTGCTTTTAAACGTATGAGTTATGTACTATTTTGGGTAAACATTTAAAAACACATTAATGAACTATGCAACATTTAAAAGTTTATTTTTAATTAATTTCGAATTTGAAAATTAAATAACTCAATAAGTACAAATAATAGTCGAGATTTGGCACTAATTAATTATCGTTATTACCGCTGTTTCTTCTTTATCCCGAATTAGTTCCTTGTACGATATATTACGGGTAATGAAACAAATACTAGTTTTTATAATAATATAATTTATTACTTTTATAAAATCACAAACGTTAACATACTCTACATAACAAGTTCACACAGCAAACTCAAAAAAGTGTTTAATTACATTTGTATGTATATTGCAACAATAGCCTAACAGTATCAATAAATATATTCTGACTTAACAAAATTTCGTTATCAACAATTAGGAGCCGAAATTACCATAGATAATTGTCGATAGTTGAAGGGGGTTGTTCTATATCCTTAAAGCCTTATGGACAATCCAAACTAGTGATATGAAAAATTCCGGGAAAGGAAAAGGGAAGAATATGATATTGCGTCTAAGTTACACCTAAGTTAAATAATGAGTTGAAGGTGACATTCGAGGAACAATTTCTTAATCAAATTAAATAAAACCAATGAAAACGAATAACTTACTTTTAACTTGAAATTAAATCTTTATCGAAAGGATTTAAAAAGTAACTCCGCGTCTCAATGAAAGTTGCATCCACTCAAAGGCCTTGAAAATAAAGTGGGTCTAATGTAGATTAAAACTAGGACGAAATAGCGCCGAAGACAAATATCAAGAAACGTAAACTATAGCGCCATTTACATCATTAAACTATCACTAATCTGAAACTGTCTATGTTTAACAATCACTCCAAAGTCGATAAGTTGTAACCTAATAATAAATATCTAGTGTTAAACATATTCAATTACAGGCATTATTTTTAGTTTACCTGCAATATTGAATAAACTAAAATGGTCTATTTGCATCATTAGCCAGATCGTTACAATCTAAAAACGTACATGTAAACGCTCTGCAGTTATACTGACGTGACTCTAATTCTCATTAAATAGTGAGTTAAATTATCGTTATATAAAAAAGTTGATTACAGGAGAATTTTGAACTTGTTTGTATATTGTACGACCGTTTAAAATCGAATCTTTAGGGAATAATAAATATTTAGACTAGAAAGTGCATTAACTAACAACGCGTACGCATTTCGAATATGTGCATACTATGAGGGAGATCAAGCATACATTCTTCATACATTTTCAAATGTAAAACCTTAATTCAGCAAATACTGAACACTGTACTGAAAATACTAAAGTTCGTGTTAAATTAAACATATTAAATAGGGAAGTTAGTTATAGTATGTCACACAACCTGGTGATTAAAGAAAACAAATAAACTAGAGTTTTGCAGCATCGTTGACGAGAAATAATGGAAGAACTGTAACTAGCGAGGCAACATTAAATAAATTCAGGATCATTAAAAACATAATATTAAAGTAATAAGGTATAAAAATAGGAATAGCTTAAATAGGTTCGGAAGCTGTAGGAGACTGGATAATTGAAGACGGCCTGTCTGTGAAATAGTGTTCGCTTAGCGGTGAAACCGAGCCTCTGTCTAGTGTTGGGCGGTGGACAAACGGACTGAATCTATGTCAATATAATATTAAGTATATTCAGATTTTTTCCAACCCCGCTGTTTATTTTTAAAGCAGTAATTTCACTTACCGTCTAGGAATTGAGCTAGTTGATGCTTCATCTAAATTATTATCAGAGCCAGCATATAAACTTTTGGCAATTGTACTGGGTCTTGCAATTCTGCTACTGTACGTTTGATAGGAACCGGGAATATTTTGATACGAATGACCTAAAAAATATATAGTCGATATAGTGAGTCTAACTACTCTTAGATGAGCAATGACATTGGCCAAAAAAGTGGTTAAAAGTCCAGAAACGTTGAGAATTCACCAACAACAAAATATTGAAGACATTTATTCAAAGGGTTTTTTTCAACATGCTTTATTGAGTGTTATTCCATAGTTTGTATACAAAGTGTCCTGTAAACCGTCGACAATACTTCGCATGATGAAAGATCCATCTTGGCAAAGTCAAAAAATAAAAAAATAGCAGCACGGAATATTAAGTGTTGCCAGCTTTGGTCGATTTGCAAAAAACTGTAAATATCTTCTAAAATACTTTAAAAAAAGATGGACCTTTTATCAGACGAAGTATTGTCGAATGTTTATGGGGCATCCTGTATACGCATAATATTTCATAATATCCTCATAACATCGATATAACAATTATGAAATAAATACATTTAGGTATTTTGATTCACAGCTTTATCCTAATTGTTTTGGTGATAGTTTCCATATTAAGTTTTGATAATAACTCTAGTAATTATATCAAAACGAGTAACCATTATCAATTTGAAAAAAAAAGACATTCGGAGAAGACGAAATTCGGTCAATTAAAAAAAACGCCAATTTACGCCAAGATACCCAAAGAAAAGACGTTGTTAGTCTTTTATTTGGAACACTTTAGCTGAACATAACGCATCTTCTTGTCTTAATCAAAAATAATAAAATAAATTGAATCATACTTGTCACACTCTGATGCGGTCCCGGAACATTCTGGTAAGAATGAGTCAAGTTTTGTTGACCGCCTGGAACATTCACGTAGTCATTTAGAACAGAGGCACTGCAAGCATACGGTCTATATTCTCTTGAACTACTGGGTGTCGGATTATGTTCGGGAATATACGATGTAAAACTGGTTCTGAAAAGTCCAATTTTTTCAATAACATAACACTAAAAATAATTTACTAACCTTCTGGTAACGCTTGGGCTTCGGTATCGATCCAACGAGCTATAATCAGGCTTTGAGTACTCTCTCCCATAATCTCTTCCATATAGATCAAGATCCTTGTATGTGTTAGCGAAGCTGGGTCGGCGCGGTTTTTTCTTTTCGTTGAATCTAGTGTAGAAGCTCTTTCTTCTTATTCTATCAATAACCGACTCGTTTTCGTCCCCGGAATACGTTATGTGACCGTTATGAGACTGTGGTGAGTGTAAGTCGTTTAAATGGTGAAAATCTGAACATGCAGACCAAGAGTCGCACGACATATAATCGTCCGTAGGAGAGAGAATGGTCGAACCATCATCGGTAGTCGTCAAGGAATTTCGATTTTCATTATTATTTTGCAGTTCATCTTGAGCAATTCCACTTGGGCCTGCTGGCTGTTCTGAAACCGAGCAACTTCTAGAAGGTTGCCGGTTTAGATCTAGCTTCAAATTTCTTCTATCCGGTTTAGCTTCCTGACTTATTTCAGTGCTGTTGTTTTGGAAAAACTTTGGCGGTTCAGGTAGACTGTCCAAATTTAAACTTCTTCTGAACGAATTTACCGGCAACTTGGACTTGCTTTTTTCGTTAGCAGCAGATACCTTTTCCAGCAAGCTGTCGGTTTTTGCACCGTCGTAAGTGTTTTGGAAGTGTCTGACTTTATCCAGCAATAACGATTTGGGTCGCTCCTTTTTTCCAGCTTGAGGCACTTCACTTTCAGATTTAGGCTCATCGTCGCCTTCTTTCACGCGCTCTTTTGATTTCCTTTCCTCCTTGCTTTTGTTTTTCTTGATAGGTTTATCTTTCTTCTTATCTTGCTCCTCGTATTTTTTGAACAAGCCCAGTATTTTAGTAACGCTTTTTCTGCTTGTTTGAAGTGGTTTCGACCCCACAGCTAAATCTTCTACCGATACTGCTCTTTTTATCAATCCACTTTCGGTGCACGATTCCAAGTTTCTTGGTAAACTCTGTTCTCTAAGGCGTTTAATAGCGCTGTCAACTGCAGACTTTTTATCCATTGTGTCCTTGGTTTCATCAGAATCCTTTGTAGCGCTGCTTCTGAACTTTTCCAGTTTTTTCTCGATAGATTGCAGCAGCTTGTTTTTATGCGCTTTCTCTTCTTCGTTTATATTTTTGTTTGTTTCATTTTTGTCGTCTTTCGGCGTCTTTTCCTTTTTGCCAAAACCTTTTTTCAGCTTGCTTATCTTCGACTCCTTTCCGTTCACTTCGACTTTGGCATCCTTGTTCTGAGCCTTGTCCATTGCCACAATGCCATTGCTAGTTTGAGGTTTCTCAGTTTTGTCCATTTTTCCACTAGTTTCAGTGGGGTAACTCTTTGGTCGAGCTATCCGCGAGAGTCGGCTCTCTTTTTTAATAGTTGGCACACTGTTTTCGGCCACTTTCACATTCACGTAGTCATGGATGACTTTGGAGCTGTTAAGTGATTGGCTCGGTTTATTCACACTAGTTTGCTTTTCTGGAGACAGTTCAACCAGGGGTTGAGGCAAATTGACATAGTCGTGGCTGGGTTTAGTTACGGTTGGGTTCAGGGCTAATGACTTTTCAGCAACATCGACAACATCTACGGTCGGAACCTCTGTAGGTGTTTCGGCAGGTTCCTCTCCCTTTTCTTCACGGGTTCTCGATTGAGACCTCAGGCGGCTTTTTCTTTTATCTCTGATTTCCTTCAAAACCTGCTGGGTTTCGCGTTCTCTTTCTTTCTTCTCTTTAACCAGCACGTTCTCTTCTTTGGGCTCAAAGAAATCAGGGCGCAGGAATCTAGATATTCGTCTGGTGGATGGTTTTCTTTCAGCTTTTGGTAAGTCGGGAGATGTGGGAGACAATAAACTTCGACTTGGTGTGTAACGGGAGTATGAGCTGTTGCTGGAATAACTCGTGTAAGGTCGAGATAAGCTACTCTCGGAGTATTTGGAACTGAAGCTGTCCGAATCTTTTTTGTATGAGCTGGATGTGTCATCGGTTTTCGACAGGCTAATTGAGATGCTGCTCTCCGGGCTGTGTAAATCTGGTTTCGAAATTCTGGACTCCCGGCTACTTATGGATCTGGCTACTTTTGGTCTAGTATGTAAAAATTTGCTGTTTCCTCTCGGTTCAGCTCCTATACTGGAAGATCTTATGTTAAATTCGCAAGTGGGTATATTCTCCTCCCTACCGCCACCAAATTTCATGGGTAGAAATGATTTTGATGGAGTTCTCAAAAAAGTTTTACTGAGGTCAGGCTGGTTAGTTTGGTCTTTATCAACAGATATTTTCCTCGGCAAAGTACAGCTCATTCGGTCAACAGACCGTCTCCTATCAACTGGCTTCCGTTCGACTTCTTCGCTGGTCTTCGAACTGAGGGTGCGTTGTAGTTTTCTAACTTCAGCGGGCGTTAGTTGGGCTAAAAGCTGCTTTTGGATTCGTCTGGATAGACCAGGGGTTAAGTGTGACAGAGCAAGTTGATCTTCTTCGCTCAAGTTTAGTTTTTTGAAATCTAGTTCTGCCAAATTAAGGTTTTCTTGGTCGTCTGGAAAAGAGATTGTTTTGATCAGCTTTATTTTGACTGCATACCGTCAGTCTTAGCGCAAGTTTAGAACATAGAATTGAACTAGTCGAAAATTTTGTCAACTTGCCCAAGACTAACCATTGTATTTGATTCATTTTCTAAATGTAATCATGCAAGTCATTAGTATTCAAACATTAAAACTCAAAACTTGAACAAAACAATATACAAAAAGTACACACCTACCTTAAGACTGTGTTAGTGTGTAAATTTTTGGCACAAAACTTCGGCTGCAGCATGGAAAAGAACAAAAAAATAAGGCAAAATTAGTAAAAAATCGAAATAAAACGAAATAAAGTGACAAATTTCACACTTCAGCGTGTTAGCACAGGCGTGCGATGGGAATCGAGTGTCCTAGATAATTAAGAATCTCTGTAATCATTAAAAGTATCAAACGAAAGCTTTTGTGACCGATATTTGGATACATATTTTTGAATTTTTCAACTAATAAGCCGATGTACTCAATTAATCGTGGATGATCTTTCTTTTTTTAACTCTTGCTAATATTTTCGCACCAAAATGTATGAGAAACTAGTTTTTACTATATTTCACTAAATACTATTATTCGCACATAAATATAGAAATGTACGCTTTACTCCGAGATCAATCATCTTTCCTGTTGTGGATGCAATTCCACATTCTACCGAATCAACGAATTTCTAAAACACTCTGATCTGAAACTACTGCGAGGGCACGATCTATTTATGTTGGACTATAGCATGGTATTAGGGCTGATACTTTCCTAGTGAGCGATAAATGAAGAGCAAAATATAAGGACGTTCTCGACTGAATATTCTAGTGAATAATGGAAGATGTGTTCAAGTCGTGTTCGTTTGTGGCTATTTATAATTTGATATTCTCCATAAGGATGTTTTTTTACTTCACTTTTGGTGTGTCACAAAACCAATCTATTATTAAATTTGGACCTGTTTATTTTTGTAATATGGCCTTAGAAATAACTCCATTAATTCGACTATTTGCGAACATTTTTCAAGTTTTTTGCAAAACGCAGCGGTTATATGAAAATTTTCATTTTAATGTTTGTTCCTTAGAAGAAGGAGAAGTGTGCATAACTAAATTTATTGTGCAATACAGAGAGTTGCATTTTCGAGGTATTAGTATTGGGTTCTCGTAAAACGATTTTGATTTTTTTCTCATATTATTAGAAGACCTTTTAATTCTCCCCAAGATTATATTATCAGATCTGGAGTTAAATATTTTAAGGAGTTTCATGGCCATGTTAAATATAGTATTTTATTATCAGAAACTGTAAGTACCACCTTGATTACAAATAACTTATATTTAAGAAAACTTACGACGTAAAATGACTCTTGTGATTAATAGCATAAGATGAAGGAAATACTCTTGATGTTTTTAGTAATTAACCGTGATATAATCAACTTTTTATTTTTGTACCAACTGAAATAATTATTTTTTTGTATTTTTCTTTCTTTACTTTTAGTATGGTGCGTAACAGAGAAATATTGAGAGTGCTAAAAGTAGCCAATAAAATTTATAAAATTATGGTAGAATATCTCTCCAAATAAGCTTAAATAAAAATTGAAATAATTTCAGAAAATTTCAAGTTTTTTCGAATATTTCTGGACGCAATAGAAAACAAAGTCATATGTTAGGTCTAAAAAAAATTATTTAAGATCTGATAGTATACTTTTGTAGAGGATATTTCTGGAAGTAATCGGGATTTGCGAAGTTTTGAAACATCATTTTGTCAAGCATTAAAATGTGCAACTTTGCTCAATTTAACCGATTTAATATCTAGTAGTATCTCTTGCGGTTTACGAGATCCCTCCAATGCCTCGAATTTGTATCACCCTGTATATATGTTTTGCAGTTATCTGGGGTCTTGACATAACCCAGTTAAATTTGCAAAAGTAGTCCATTGTACAGTGGATCACAAAAATATTCGGACTTTTGCAGATTTCGGCTTTAATCTGTGTGTTCAAAGAATGGTAGGAAAAATTTAAACCCCTGAAACTGAACAGCATAATTAATTTAAGTTAGCACAAGAAATATATTTTATGTTTGAAAATTCTTATAAAACGGCAAAACATTTGCAAAAAAAACATTTAGTCAATGTAGTTTAAGATCATTTTTTCTCTCTAACACGTCGTTTTTTTATATTTGTGGTCCGACTACTGAAATAACGATAATCAACACCCTTTAGTCTGAATGCTTTTATAATCCACTATTCAGGAATTAATAACGATTTATATTTCCAGAAGAGAATTTATATTTCCGTCTGTGCACATTATCATGCTACACATTAATACATATAATGTGCCTGATGCGATCTGTGACTGAAAACAGGGTCGTCCTCAACTAATGTGATAAAATTCACTTGTTTTTCACGCAGGCAAATTTGTCTTATCCGAAATTTAATAGATTCAGATGCACAGGGTGTGAAAGTGCAAATAAAATTTTCGTTTATTTTTAATAGATTCTTATGCCGATATTACACTACTGATTTTTCCCCGATTTATTACGCCAATTATTTAAGGTCATCATATACAAGCGAAAATCGTGGAATCGGGCTGTAATCGATAAGTCTTACGACTGATCGCGGACTTAGATCATGTTGGAACTTATTTCGGATTATAAACATTTTCTGGGAACTTTTGGGGCTATTTGTATCGTATTCGCAACTACAAAGGGAATACAATGGGTTTATGTTATTTTTTTGGATTTCAAAGTGTTTGTCAGTCTGTAAAGCGCGTATAGATAGAATCTGTGAATTTCAGTATATGAAAAATGAAAGTTACTGAAATTACATTTCTGAAAACAATATTCAAGTGTAAAGACCGTCTCCCTATTATTAAACCCGCTTTATTGACGACTAAATCTGGTTAAAATGCGTAGTGTAAAGGTGCGAACAAATGTGACGAGCCGAGCCTGAGCACACACCACTGACAAAAATTAACAAAATTATGCTATTGCAAAACATGCGTCTTCTCTATATCATTATCATTTTGCTTTTTTAAAATTAGATTTCAACACATGAAGAATACATGGTTAAAATAAAGCCCCTCCCTCATGAAACACCTTGCATAAGTAATAGGAAATTCCCACACTCAAAATTTTTGGTTGGTTAAGAATCTAAGTATAAAAAAATTAAACTTTGATTTGAACTTTGAAATCCTGTACCTCTGAATCAATTAACTTTCGGACAAGACAAATTTGCCGAAACGCAATAGTTTTGCCTTAAAAAATGTTAGTGAATTTTGTCACATTAGTTGAGGACCATCCCGTGTAAACCTTTGAATAATATTTTGCGGAACCGACACGATAGGTGCCTGATAATGTGCTGGTGATAGACCTTCAATGGGATTCAACTCCCTTATCTGAAAATGAAGAAAACGGTTTTTGGAAGTTTAGGTTGTGAAGGTGTCCTATTGTAAGGAAATCAGCTAGAGCGCTTGACAAAAAAAATTGAAACGGCCACAGTCGTACTGGCATAGCATAATCTCATGCATGCACAGATCAGGATCAGCCTACCGAATAGTCTTGAGTAGTTTGAGTGTCGGTGGTTGCGTGGCAGGGCAGCCGTAGCGAAGTGGCGCAGTTGGTTAGTTCCGCTGCTGGTCGGCAGCCGGAGGCGGTCCGCAGGGCACATGCACCGTCACGCAAACGCGCGCTGCAACACGCAACACCACGGTCAACAACGCATGCCAAGTACGACCACTAAGAGTGGCGAGTACCGTCTTTTCCTCTCATGTCTTCGGGAACTTTATTTCCGTCGTCTTAAGCAAACTGCCTCCTCAAGTTCAAGTTCACACACAAGATAATGAAGTGATAGTAATACTCTTACATACACTGTCCAAGCGACAATTGACTTATTTTACAAAAAAGAGGTGAAGACCTACACACTTGCGACTGGATCTCCAGACGAAAAAATAAAAATCCACTATTGCGATTTCCAAAAATCGAATTCGAGTCACTTGCAACGATTTCCTGGAAACTGCCCCAAATCGCTGATTCATCGCATTCTCTACAACGAACATACAGGGTGTCCATTTGAAACTTCCCACCCTTAATATCTTTCTTGCAGTTGAAAATATGAACTTGCACTTTAAATGAATATTTTTAGCCTCCTTGTATCAACCCCCTAGGACGGGAAGAGGTCACCCTTAGAATCTTAAATGGGAAGGGGGATCAAGTGGCACATAGTTTTAAAGGGCATTCAATTCTCTTTACATTTGTTATTACTTTGTTGCTTTGTGTTCAGAGGTTTCTCTGATATAATAATATATACAGGGTTATTCACGCTATACGGCACGGACGTTTGCGGCTAGCCCGTTTGTTTTTTGCAAAGTATTATTTGATGAATCCACAGAC